GGCCAGACAGCGAGACACACCGTGGAGATAGCAACATGCAAAAAGGCCACACTGCAGTCTCGTGATTATAAACCCTGACTCATCAGATCAGTTATCCCAATGCTTGAAAACCCCTAACCTGGAGTGTTTTGGTTCAGGTTCACAAAGAAAGCAGCAAATACAGGAAATATTTTACAGAAACAGAATTAAAACCATGATACAACAGCTGACAACCTGCTCCAGTAACTATGTGCTAATCAGAAACTTTACAAAATAAGACACTATACAACATGCAATATTCTCCTCAGACCCCAGCTTCGGCTTGGTCTGCATTTTAAGTTTCTCCTCACAATTTGGGATCAGTAGGACCTGATAAGTATAAAAACTAAACATTGTCTCTACATACAGGAGGATGTTTTAGGGGAAGAAAAATGATCATATGGGGATGATGGGTTTATTTTAATAGTCAAAAGTGTGTAATAAAGTATAGAACTGTTCATTTCAATGCCTGAACATTGTTGTGCAAAAACTTAACTACAAATAATCTAACAAATCTAAAAGTATTGTGATTTGTTCATTTTGTGACTCTGGATGAATTTTCCTTGTTCCACACACCAAGTGAGGTATGTCCTTTTGTCTGTAGGAACAGTCTCTGACACCTTATTGGTCCCAACGTCCTCAAACAAGATGATTATGAAAGCTTGTTACTGCTGCTAAAATTGTTCAAATTTGTTGCTTTATCAAACTACAAATGTCACTTAAACATAAATAAACAAGTTTCAGCCATAACATTTGATCTGGTTTTGTACCTTGTCCCCTTTTTGTCACAGGTTGAGGCAGGACCCAAGAGCAGCACAAAACCCCAGCAGTGTAATTGCAATAATTGTAATTCAACGTCTTAGCAGATAAGACAGCAGCAAAATATGAACAGTTTGTGCAAAAGTTCTTGCAGTCTTGAAAACTACATTGCAGCCAGGAAGCGAACCAGGGTCTCCCACGTGACAGGTAACAATAATCCCACATGAACAGGGCAGGCTGGGTGCAAGGCAAGCAGGAGCAGGGTCTTTTAACAGGAAGACAAGCGAGCCAGAAGCACTTACACAGATGGGATGTGTTGCAGGCTGGCAGCTCAGACGGTGACAGAAGAGCAGGCGATTTCTCCCAGGAAAGCCGGAGTGGTAATGCCAAACAGCCACAGGCAGACAAGAACCAGGAACACACAGGCTGAACTTGTAGTCAAGAGCAGAGGGCAGTTAGGTTTATCAGGGCAGAGACGAGGAGATGTGGTCAGAGGCAAGCAGAGTCGAAACCGGGAGATCCAACCGAGGAAGAGTGCTGGAGAGTATTGCATGCTGCAAAGACTATCTGGCAATGAGTGAGAGGAACTGTGCTGCTAAAATACTGGCTGGCTGATGAGTGGTGATGAGCAGCAACTGAGGACAGGTGCACAGGTGGAGGAGATTGGCGCTAATGAGGTGGTGAGACAGGAGGTGAGTGAGCCAGGGCAGAGTGTGACACTTTTGTGTCAAGATTGGCTGCAGACTGACTTGGCGGAGATGGCTGCCATCTTGTTTTTACATGGATTAGAATATTGTGCTTTTGCCACCACCTAGTAACACAAAAAGTGTCCATGAACAAGGACAGTAGGTCTAAGCTAAGCAGAATGAAGTAAAAGGTGCAACAAACCCAGAATGTGATGTCCTCATATGAGGACACAGGGTCTCAGGAGGATATCAAATAAATTACAAATTATAAGAGACAAAATCCAAAAGATTAATTATAGTACCAAAATGTAATTACCCAAATAATTTGCCTCACCAAAGCAGCAGTTTCCCACAATCTGGACTCTTCTGAATACCTCAGGATTCCCACTTGTCAAATAGGACTGAAGGCTAGCTTTGCTGTCTGCACCTATACAAAATTGATTGCCTTTTCTTGTTAACAAAGCCATCAAATACTATTGCTTTGTCAGTGAATTCGGTGCCAGACACTAACACCACCACTTACAGAACACTGCTGGACAGCGTCACTTAAAAATGCTGCCAGTTACAACGTAATATAAGGAGCTGGAAAGTCCCTACAGGGTGGGCACAAGGAGTGGTTAAATTAGTGCATGAACTCTTGAGTTATTTTATGAGGTCAAAGTGGCCTTTGATCTTTGACTACCAAAATCTAAGTCATCCTTGAGACGTTGTGGATGTTTGTGTCAAATTTGAAGGTGTTCTTGAGATATCTTGTTCACAAGAATGAGACAGATGAGGTCATGATAACTTTAACCTTTGACCTTTGCCCATCAAAATCTAATCGGTTCATCCTTGACTAAAAGTGAATGTTTTTGCCTAATTTAAAGTCAAGCAACCTTTTTTCAATCCATAGTCATCAAATACAGCTGCTTGGTCAGTTATTTCTGCATCGAACACCAATGAGAAAAGCCATCCTATCGCAGCAGTATGATACACCACATGGAAAACAATGTAATGTAAGGAGGTGGAAAGTCCCTACAGGGCAGGCAGACGTCCACACCAGAGCCCTATGTTCGCGTCCTGTATGAATGTAGAGCAAAACTGTGATGTTGTTTTCTAAACCTAACCACGTGCTTTTGTTGACATCCTGATGTTGGTTGCAACGTCCCAAAACGTCAATGCCAGACACAGGAAAGTACCTAGCACGTAATGTGTAGTCCACTGACAAAGCTGCAATATGTGACAAATAAGAGCATGTCTGAGTGGCAGTGAAAAACTGCAAATGCAGTCTACAAAATGTATCATCTGTTTAAAGCCCCAGTTTTTATGAGTTGGCAAAGCTCCAGTGATTTAGGGGGATAAATTGGCAGAAATATAAGATGCCATTAAATCCCACTATATCTTAAACATTAGACCTTTGAGACCAAACACTAAACATACCTGTCTGTCAGCATTCACCACTAACTAGGAGGTGTTTGGACCCCTGTCAACAAGAGTTGCCCTCGATTATGCCTGTGTATGTAACAGGTGAGTTTAGGACCCAAAAGCAGCACTGTAGACAGGCAGAACAGTTTATACTGAGCTTTAATGCACCATTTTAACACATACAGAGAGAGCAGGCTGATAAAACAACAGAGAGAGTCAATGATCAGGTTCTGAGCTTCCAGGGAAACTGAAGCAGTCCACAGCTCTTGGCATGGAATGCTGAAGCAGCACACAAGTGAGGAGCCATTGTCCACCGGACTCACAAACACAGCAGACAGTTTAATCATTTATAATGGTACCGTGAGGGGGCAGGCAGAGAGCAATGTCAGACGAACAGGAATTCCAAATTCAGGAGTACTCACAGGAGAAACAGTCTCAGCAATGGCAAAGCCAACTGTGGACAGGGAAGAGCTTGTCAGCAGCAATGAAGAGTGCAATCTGCAGCACACACACACAAAGGCAGAATGTGCAGCCACACAGTGAAGCAATCAACAGCACAGAAGACCGCTGGTAACTGAATCAGTAAACTCACTTTGGAGAGCTGGGTGACGATTTCTTCAGACAGACACAGAAAACAGCTAAACAGGAACCAGGAAGGCAGAGTTTTTGGTCAAGGACAGAAAGGCAGAATGGTTTACTAGGGAGCAGATGAAAAAGGAGAATCAGGGAAAGGCATGTTCGGTAACAAGGAAGCTGTCCAGAAACAGGTAGGTGTGGCGACGAGGCGGGGTGAGGGGAAATTATTGAAAGAGCTGAGAAGATGGCAGCTGAAAAGTGCCCACTGTTACAGTGCATAAATGTGCTGTTATGTTGGTGGGGAGTATATTCAATCACTAGCTACATCAACTACATTTAGATTTTTGTTTCTTATTACACACAGTGTCTGTAAACCATATTTTTAGCCACAATAGCTGGGGATGGTACGTCAGTAAGTTGGTCACTTTGGTCCAGGCTGAAACATCAACTACTAGACTGACTGTCATGAAACCAGACATGAAGGCCCCCAAACAAACCCTAATGACTGACTTCCTCTCGCGCCACCAGAAGGTTCGCATTTGTGGTACAGACAGAACATGTTCCTTTGCCCTGCGCTGTGGTGATTACCGCTGTTATTTGGACTGCAATACTGTTAACAAAGCTCAGTATAAGTTAAAATCAGGAACACTTTCATTATGCTATATCCAATCACAAGTCTCTCTCTAACCCACTCCCAGCGTATCCTCCAATCAGCTGACTAGCGTTTCGTATCCTAGTTAGCCTTGAGCCACTCGTTGCCACTGCCAAACTTTAAATCTGCTCTCCTTTCTGCTCCTGTCAGCTGTCATTTTAGGCAGAATCGACACACCCTTTTCCACCCCATTCACCTCCAGTCACCTTATCCAGAGCCCAGGACGAGCTGATCAAAAGCCCACTCCTCTTTACATCCAGAACCTCAGCTCCCTCTTCATCTCATCTCATCACTACCATCACCAGCATCTAGACTCCATAGGGGGCATTCCCTAATCTGCTTCATCTTTACCACCACAATGGGGTCTAATCGCCACATATCACAGACTTATGCACACATGTAAATAAATATTCTTTTGTTTCAGAACATGTCTCTCAAGATTGAAGTCAGCACCGTAAGCTGCTAGCTGCCGGCTCAGCTACGTCCATGCTGAAAACCATGTGCAGACAACTCATATACTTTGACTCTCAGAAAGAGTTGCTTTAAAGATTGTTTTTGCTCCAGTTTGTCTGAATTATAACGATATACTGCTTTCTGTTTATCTTTGTAAACTGAATATCTTTGAGCTTTTGGACTGTTGTTGAGACAAAACAAGACATTTGATCACACACTGAGATCTGTACAATTATGATGGTTCACTATTTTCTAACGATGTATAGACAAAAAAATTAATCAACAGGGAAGGCAAATAATCATTGGTTCGACCCTTTCTGCTGGCGTGGAGCTGTTTGACGTCCCTGTGACTCACAGGGACTCCGATCTCTGCCCCCTGATCCTCTGATGCTTAACATCTTGGTCATCGTCCCTGCTGATGAAGACTCCAGTAACTCACAGGGTAAACCAGAGTCATTACGAAGCTTCTGACCCTGGGAAGAGAAAGAGTGAGTCAGCAGATTTAAAGTGACAGCAGAGATAGGGAGGGTGAGGATGTTGCTGTATGTCCCATTATATTTGCAAATCTTTGTGTGTGTATATGTGTGATTTATTGATCTGTGTGTGTGTGTGTGTGTGTGTGTGTGTCACTTTGTATTGAAGTAATTTGCCTTATGATAATAAAGTTTAATTTTATCTTATGTTTATCAATCAAATTTAATAAGAAGGGTCTTCACTGTTTTTCAGGCCGACGACCACTTAGCTGAATGCGAAACTAAGCAGGTGCTGCATATGATGTATAAAACTGTATTGCATATTAAACTGGGTGGACAAAGATTTTCAGGCAGAGGGCCATACCTGCCTCAGACTGCAGTCTTGACCTGTATTTGCTCCTCAGGTGGGAAAGGGAGGAAACTTCACTTTCACAAAGATAAGATGTTGCAAAAGGGATTCCTGTTAACACTTTCCCCGCTAGAGTATTATTTTTTAAGTTGCCAGCCGCCGCTAGCATTTTTGATTATATTCACTAATCTTTCCAGATCAACAGAATAATTAGTTCTATAAATATGTAAACAGTATATACATTAAACTAAAGAAGAGACCTTCTGTTTATTTAACACACAAAAACATTTTTATTGTGTCTTATTCCATTTCTTTTTGATAAACACTTGAATTTGTGCATTTTCATAAAAAGATAAAAAATTAAAAAAAATTAAAAACATTTCGGACAAAAAGCTTAGAAAATGCATTTTTGTCCAAGAATGTAATTTTCAAGTACAAAATCAATTTCACATTTACATTTTTTTGGTGTTTTCTTATTTCCTTACTCAGTTTGAATTGTAAAAATGAAAATAATAATAATGTTAATGAAAATAATATTCTTTTTGAGGTAACACGTTGTCACATTCAGTGATCGGTGAGTGTTCTGTTGTCTCCCTTTCCTCTGTGGTCGTTTTGCCCGTGTGTCACTGTCACTGTCATGGAGATTCCATTTCATCTCACCAAACTCGTTTGCTTCTTCGTCCAAATCAGATTCAGAATGTTGATCAAAACAGGAATTGTCAGAGTCTGAGATCATCAACATCTCAACGGCACCAGCCTTTTCATGCGATTTACAAGCTGCTACATTTCTGTAAACATCTTTTTTCTGGCAGATCTTCCTCGTTTGTTTTTTGACACGGCAGCGCTGATTGCCTGGAATATCTCATCAATGGCAGGAAAGCTTTCTGTCATAAATAACAGAAAATCTCAGCACTGGCGGGGATAGTGTGAATGTGCATTTTCAGACTTATTTTAATTTTTTAAAAGGAAAAACATATCAAACAATTATTTGGCAGCCCCCCTGCAGTAACTCTGAGGACCCCCCAAGGGTTCCGGATCCCCCGTTGAAGACCCAGGTTTAATAATCATTCTTTTATTCAGTTGATAAACATCCAATAGCTGAAGAGTTTATTGCCCCAGAGTCTGCAACATGTGGTACCACAAAGACCTCCTCTGATTGTAATAATACAGTAATATAATTAATATTTTTTTATTGCGCATAGCATTGTATGTGTTTTTATGCCTCCTTGCTAGCATTAGCCATGGCTGGAGACATTATGTTTTTGGATGTCCATTCATCTGTCCGTATGTCCATACATACATACCTACATACATACTTCCCATTCTCATGGAAGGGTTTTCAAATTTCAGTGATGAAGTGATTATAATTTGGTAGTTATAGGTCAAAGGTCAAGGTCACTGTGACCTTGTCTGTCTCATTCTCATGAATGTGATGTTTGATGTTTGTCACCTTCAGGGAATTTCTTCAAATTTGACACAAACATCCACTTGGACAACCTGATCTCACAGAAATACGTGAAATGACCACGACCTCTTAATACCGCATTCCGTGGTGGCAGCATGTAATGGGTTGAAATTACGTGCTGCCACCACGAAAACAATGCCAATGTAAAGTCAATTAGGGTCCTCTCCCGTGGTGGACACACGGATTCCCTGATTCAATCACGTCACGTCAACCTCGTTTTCCCCAATGATATCTTTAACATTCCTGTATACACACAAAAATGCGGAAGTGTTCTTGATATTAAAACGGCAAATATATTCCTCTGTAATTTCCCACCAATAATAATAATAATGATAATAACGTGATAGTTCGGCTGTTCTAGATATTTGTTATAGCCTATTCAAATATTCAATCCCAAAAACGCCGTTTCTAGAGAACTTGCTAAAATATCTGAAATGAACCATCATGCCTACTTTTTCTTAACATATTTCATCTAGGTGCAGTGTCATTACTAGTTCAGCTTTACTAGACATTTGATATA